TTTCTGAGGGGCACGTCGTGTCATACGAATTGCTACATAGCTTCATCTGGTTACTAAAAAATTTAAATGTAAAATTTATACGCGGTGAAACAGAACGGAAAAGTTTTGACAAACACATGCCTTGAAATTACGTACACGATGACTATGTATGTACACAGTTTAAATTTTGTGCAAAAGTGGTTCTCCAAATTCGGGGCACTATTTCATGTACAAAATTAACCAACAACAATAATAATACAAAATGAACTTGTAATTGGAACACAACACGCTACTTAAAAAAAACTTCTAAAAAATGTGGAGATAAATTGTGAACTTGCAAAATCATTCCGTCGTGTGATACGATGATCTTGCAAAAAATACGTCATTGGATATTGGAGAAGAGATATACGAACATATTTATATATATATTGCTCAACTCTGTATGTTTTCAATCGAAGCTACGTATTTAGCTTTAATAAATTCAAATCCCAGTTTAAGTCGTGCCTCTTGGAATTTAAATGGTTTTATTGTTACATCACATACATCTTTTACCATAATATTGCATATGTATGTACCTATGCATGGATATTGCCTTCTTACCACACCGTATTCAACTTGTTTGTGCAAAACATGGCATTGTACACCAAATGGGGACTTGACAGTTTTATGTTGATGTGGTTCAGGATTCAATCAGCTAATTTAAAAGAACACGAAACGAAGCAGAATTTTGAAATTGAGGAAATAGAATGAATGACAATGACATGCACTAACGGTTAGTTAGTTTTTAGTGTTGCTGCTTCCATTCTTTGCGACGGTGAAATATTGACTGATGAGGTGAATTCGGCAGTGAACCATAGCCTTGACGATGTTTTTGCCAAGAATCAGAACAGTAGAGAGAGAGAGACGTCGGGGAGAACAACCTATATACTGACACTACAGGTTTCATACATGTGAAAACATTACAAGAAATCATGCTGAACTTGATTAAATTGCAAGTTTATCTGCAATTACAATCCGACATTCAGAACAATTTGTCATTTCTTTGAAAGGTCCCAAGTAACAGTACAATCAGCCAACATATTAAACATTATTTTATTAGTGCTAAACTATTTTTTACAAATTCAACCAAATTGTTTTGTGAAAGCAGCGACATGGGAGCAGAGCGAAGTATATAAAATTATATTATTTTCCCATTACACAAACAGTTTTCATGCAGTCATTCAGGTGCAGCTTCTTGATGCAGTTTATTTTGTAACGATCAACCCAAAAACCCAGCATCGTTTTAGCCTTTGCAACAAAATTCAGATATCTTTATAGCGTTAATGTTTATCGTACTCGAAGGTATAATAATTAGAAAAAATAGCATTAAACTCAGAGTAATAGCGATGCACTGAACTTTTTTACAGACAGTAATTCAGTTAGTTGAGTTAGTGAAAACATTATTAGGACTTCCTTTGACAGAATGTTCCCATGATTATATTTTGTAATAACAGTCAGCAGTTGAGTTCAACTTTAAGACGAGCTAAAAATCCCACGAAGGAAGACGCAAACCAACATAATACAGGTTGTACATAGATCCTTAGTTATAACAGAATGAAGTATCAATCGTAGATATACGCACGCATCCATCCATCCATTGCATGGTTTCCTTACATAGTCAAGTTTATACGAACACAAGTGCATGCGTAGATATTACGACGATATCAACCCCAGAAGAGCAAACCCAACTGCTACCACACAAATGCGCTATCAGATATTCAAAGTTTTCAAACAGCAAAGCGAAGGTGCAACTTCCAAGTCAAAGTCATATTCATCGAGTTGTCGTGCAGTGCATTTTAAAACATAAACTTCCACTTGAAAAATGCAAGAAGAGCAACAACAACTAGGCAGCTAGGTGGGTACACACATGCATATGTACGTAATCCTTTTGTTGTATGTGTATATATATATGCGTTGCGTATGTTTAGACGGAAAACCTGTATTTGTCTCGTATTTTTCATGAAAAAAAATCCAGTTGCACAGCCAGACTTAAATCCCAAGAAAGGCATCCCATTGTATTCTTCTGCTGTTCTTATGTTCCATGTTGTTGTAGTGCTCAAGGTGTTACACAGGATTACACATTTCGGTTTATCAGGCCAAAACTTTTTCTCGTATTCTTCGTGAGGAAAGGAAACCAGATTTCGGTCATAATCGTCCCTTGTGTATATATTCATCTAATCATCATCATCACAGAGCAAAATGAACCTGCAACATCCGACCAAAAACCTTTTCTCTCCCTCCAAAGTCCAAATTATTCTGTATTTTATTTCAAAACCGCCGCAACTATTTGGTAGTGAGCCTTCTACTACTGTACTTTGGCCATTGCTGCATTTATTTGCATCTGCACTCGGACTACCCGGAGTATGTTTCGCTAACTTTTGTTTGATTTAATTCAACAGACTTTTGAAAATGGAATGTTCATCTCTTTCGCAGGAAGAAAAGGACTTGGAAGACGAGTTTGTGGGGTTTCTTACGAGAGGCAACAATTTCCTACCTCTATCGTTTCAACCAACCAACCAACTTTGCCTTACTTTAACTTTGAATTCGCTTAGAGTTTTAAGTATAGTTGGGTAACTTTTCGTGGAAGGCAACAACATAATAATATAAAAGTGGAGACGATGGCGATGACGGCGGCCTGGCTCGGAGTAAATTCGTTGCAAGTGTGGTAGTCAGCAGAAATTTGCCAACTATCATGCAACTAAAAATTTGTGGAAAGTCGGGAACAGAAAGAGGTCGACAAAGGTCCCATATTTTATGGTTTGGCCTGGATGAAAGTTCAAAATATCTCGGTGCTGAATTTACTCTGCTGATGATAACTGACAGGTCTCTCTACATACTCGCTCGCTCGCTCGATCCTTTGCTTCTTACTTCCATCCTTCGTCCTGCAGAAGAGTTTAGTTAGTTCAAGAGGATGAGGATGATGGCAACTAGAAGAACGCGTTCCTCATGCATACGACATACACGAAGGACGAGATGTTGCAGCAAAACCACCTACTAAAACTCGAGCGCTATTTTGCGCGATCTAACTATGCGTGTCTGTCAGAGAGGATCCCTGGTGGCTTTTCACATATTCTAATCTCTAATTCCATTAACTCAACTGCACACATTTTGCACTTCTTTCATCTCAACAGCCAGACTTTAGCTAATCCTCAAACTGTTCACAGGTTGACACCCTCTTCATTTCCGAGCAGTTTATCATTTCACTTATTTCATTTAAGAAGAAGGCAATGAACATTCAACTTAAAGCTCCAGCCTCGCCTCATATCATCGCGTGCTAAATGTTTGCGTCAATTTTCTTATGAGAGCAAATTCGACAAGTTGCACTTCTTCCGAGGGGTCGTTGTTGGCAGTAATAATAATTCAATGTATATTTATGTGTTAGCCTAGCGAAGCTTGTTAAATCTTTCAGAACTCAAACTGTGATGCAGGTTTTCAGATGGCACAAGACAATTTATGAGAAAAACAACTCGTTATTTTTTATTCCCTCCGTTCATATGAACATTTTGATAAAAGGTCATTGATGTGATAACAAATTGCAAATTTAATTGTTGCATGATTTATGCATTTTTACATATATTCGGAGATATAGGTGAGTTTGACTAGAATATTATGCAATTCTTAATCAGACAGATTCGCTCCTCAAACTAGTGAATTTACGTTCCAAACTCTATGAAATTTTGACACACATTTCCTCTCGTTTTCACTACTTCATCCTTGTTGGATTTTATACTTGATTATATTCGATGATAATATTTGACGAGCAGTACTTACTTACGATATTCCATATAAATCACTATTCATCTATTTAAAATGCAGAAGGTTTAATATTTTGTGAGAGCTTGAACTTTTATGTAGATAACATTCACACGACGCAATATCTCTCCCCACCCTTCCAAAAATAACACTTGAAATCTTCACAACCAATCTTTCCATCCCTTAATCAAAACAGCCAAGAAGAAACCCAGTTTACTAAAACGACCCTTGACTAACCAAGCTATAAGAGGAAGCTCATGGCTTATCCATACCGATCATCCCTATATAATAATTTGAACCCAGCGAGAAAATATGGTCTCCCTTCAGCATCATGGATGAACAAGTGTTTTTCTTTTAAATTCCCTTACAGGATCGTAATTCCTAAACAGTTTGGCATTCAGAATATGTATTGTAGAAAAAAATCTCAAAATCTTAAAAATAAGTACGTTCCTCCTTAAACTCTGACTGGAGAGTTGGACAAGTTTTGAAATAAGTGTTAAAACAAGTAGAATTGTAATATGATCCAGTTCAGTCGTCCCATTATGTACTCGTTGAAAAAATTGGTACCATGTGTGCATGAAATAAAAGGAATAAGTAGTGATGGTTGTTGTGGGTCATGATGGAAAGGAGATCCTTCAGCCCCTCGCCCTAATTTGTTTTGCTTACATGTTTCAAGGGACGACCCTTCTTTCACCATACGTCCATTACTACACCGCATTTACATTTAAATCAGACACACACACATTGCATAACTCGGGGAACATGTTTTAATAATTTTGAAATATTTTTGTGCAGAACAGCAATAGAGCATGAAAACTTATGGATTGGATGGAATCAAATTATGCCGTGCACTATTCTGTTATATAATGAAAAAAATTAGGGCTTTAATTAAAAAACATGTCAGTAACGAAGTACACATATATAAAATTTACTAAGCCTGAATTCAAGAATTTGGAGTCAATAAACAATAAATGCGAGAAATGCAATTTAGTGGACTGGAAATAATTATTCATAATTATCATCATGCAAAATATATTATATATCTCAACTAATTATGAAAATATGTGTATAATTACTCACTCTCTCACTTAATCTTTGAATTTAAAGAATGTATGTCAATATGCAAAACATATAGTTCCTTCGTTTCAAGAAAATATTAAGAGAGGACTTTGTTTGCCTAGCGCGAAAATTAAACAGTGACTAAATACACATGTATATGACCAACTAACCTGATAAATAACATGTCCAAAACAGGGCGTATAGGACAGCGATCCCAAATCTGGACTGATCCATTTTCAATGAATGATACATGATCCCAGTTTCAATAATTATTATTATTGTTTCGTCCTTCACTCAAGCCACGAAGTTTCGTCACAAAATCATTGATCGTCACTTTTTCACAACACTTTTTTCCTCCACAGTGTAACAAAATAATGAAATATCCATCAGTATCAAATGCTAATATTATGATATTATAATATTGTAGAAAAACTTACAACCTAACTTTACCAGCACAATAACAACAAGTATATAGTTAATCAAAACTCGGTGACAAATATGCTGAAAACCAAGGAAGTGAATCTCCACATGAAACAGGTAATAACTTAACTTCCCTATTACGTATATATATTATCAATTGTTAATAGTAATTAGCATTCACAACACGCAACGCTCTCCAGAAATCGAAAACTTCCAATTCCAGTTTGATTATCAAGTTTCGTATATATTCAAGCCTCCGTTACAAAGCTGCATGGTCAAAAAACAGGCTTTCACACAGACGCCAATTAACACTGCCACCACTTTGGGCCACATCCCGTCCGCAGTGTTTCGTCGAAACAGTCCTGCATTTCGTCAAAATTACAAAGAACGGAAAACTAATGGTTTCCAACTGGAGGAGAGAGATTTTTGAAGAAATCGGACCCGTTTTTTCGGCTTACTCGTACGGATCAAAGCAGCCCTTTGGAAAGGCGGTGGAGGAGGAATGGACGTAGATGTTCTCTACTCAGAGGCTGGGAGTGAACTGAGGACTCGAGTTGGGGCAATGCAAGTCTTGGGGAGAGAAACAGGTGGACCACTTTTACTACTGCTTTACTTACTGCTCTACGACGCACGCCATCGTAAGATTACGACTGCCACGGGGACTTTTAATTCATTCAATTGTTTTTCGGTGCTAGTATTCAGACCGTCTTGTCAATGAGATTTGCAACAACGGGGCAAGACGATGTGTGTTAATATTTAATTATGAGACAAAATTTTGAGGTCGCAAAAATTTCAAAATTGATACAAAATATAATTAATTGACTTTTCTTTTAAAGATTGTGTATAAGATTTGGACGTAATAAATGACAATGTTCGATTACTGTTTTTGCAAGCAAATTGTATTAAATGAAATTTAAATTGCTGGTCGGCTCCGTATAATTGTAGTTTTATTGTCCAGTTTCTTCAAATATGGAAAGATCACATTTAAGCAGTATTATTACTGTACAAAAGGTGAGATTCTTGTGATAACACCGGTCCCTCTGTGTTACAAACTGTTATCAGTCATTTGCAAATCTACATCAATGTCTTTCTGATTTTCTAGTAGGTAGCAAATGAACAAAGTGTAAGTACTTGTGTATTTTCTTGTGTGCCATATTTGCACAATTGCCAACAATTATTTTACAGATTATTACTGTTTGATTGTAATGAACGAGATTTACAGTGTCAAATTAGTACATGGTCGATCCGCCAAGTCTCGGGTGACATTTAATTAAATCCATTTCTTGAAGATGATAACGATAATATATTTCCTGCTGCTTTTTAAAGTTGATATTCTCCTTTTATATTTAAATGTTCTGGACATGGAGCTGCTGGCAATTTGAAAATGTCAACCTTTCCGTCGCCCACGCACACCATCAAACCAACAAAACAAGTGGTCATTCCTCTGAAATTACTATTCATTGGTTGAATTTGGCACTGGATGGATATTGATCTGCATGGAGGAAATTGTTATTATGGTGAGTCTCCCCCGGTCTCACTTGATACCTATGCACCGTCCTCCATTGCTGACACTGATTAGATTTCCTACATCTCTTGGTTATTAGGCAGTCGGTCTTATAATGAGTACGGCAAGAGGATGGAGATATGGACGTACGTGTGCATTTACATTTATGAGGGCAGAGAATGGCTCGAGTCATTTCTCCATAATCTAAGACTAATTCAAACAAATGGGTCTTGACCTTTTTAGGGGAGGATTCTCTTATTAAATTATCGCACCGGCGTGTGTAACGAATGGTAGGTAGAACAGTCTGGTGACATTTCAACATAATTTTCAGGCACTGGTGACGATTTCCAAATAGTTTTTTCTATGCTAATATCGAAGATAAGTAGTTACATTCTCCTATGGGTCATTATTCTAGAGATCAATGATTATGATAGCAAACCGACCAGACCAACAACGGTTTTCATTATAATAATAATAATCGTACGTCGACAAATAAAACAACAAAGCCAAGCTGAATTACTGTCGGGTTCGTTACTAAATTCTACATACATTTCTTCAAGTCCTGCATACACTTATCCTTAGCTTAAAAATATGAAAGAACAAAACCCGTAGTTCAGATTAGGGACATTCTTACGGAAATTTGAGAATCATTCTTTTCAACCAAGCTAAAATCAACCAGGGTGGCTTTTTGTTGGGGCATGAATAATACGGTTTCGTCGAAGTGCACTCTTTTTTGAAAGGAGTTGACATGTTGCCTGTAAGTGATTTACTATTTTCTGTGAAAGTAGTGTCACAGACTCCTTTCCACTCATTAGGAAAATAGGAATGTTGTCTTAAAGAATTTCTTAATTTTCAAGTAGGTCACGGATTTGTGGTTTATGATAATTGAATGAAACTATTTTATCTTTTTTAAATTTTATTTGATAAGAAAATCAACCCAGACTATATTTCACTGTTTGTAGTTAAGTATGTTTGAATAATGTGCATACTCGCTTCAAAAGTCAACTGCTTTAGGAACCGAAAACTGTTTTATTATTACTTGGAAGGAGGTAATGGGACACGCTCATGTGGTGATAATCAGGATGTAGACAACGGTTGACTGCTGGCTGAAACCTCCCCAGAAATCTACTAATTTTGAAACATGTGTTGAGCAGACGTAGTTGGGTCTCGAGCATCTCAATGAATGGCTGATATCCTGTATTTCTCATTAAATGTGAATAAACTTTGTGCAAAGACTTGTCAATGTCCACACAATTAGATAATGAATATATAACGTATAACCAGTAAAAAAATTATATATTGGATTTGGGCGTATCCTTTGGAAATTCGGGATGCAACTAAATGTAAGTATACAATACCTTATAGAACGGGCAATGTGCACAAAAACTTATGAGCAACTAGATATTTGACGAAAATTGACTTTCAAGCAATTTACCAATTGCAATTTGGTTTGTAAAAGAATAGGTATGCAAATACAGTTTGATATGTAATTTAGTGATTATTAAGTACCTACATATTCCTCAGTTGACTGAGCACAATTGAAGCTGGCTGCAATTTTTGGACAGTTTTCACAACCGAAAATTGCTGGTTCCACCCACGCCATTCATATATCTATATATATATACACATATATATGCATACATCGAATATACACATACATTGCCTTGAAAGTCCAGTCCCCTGAGAGTTGTGTGACTTTCTTTTATTCTACAACATGTACATTTTTGGGAAGAAAGCGGGGTTATATTAATGCTAATATTTGTACATGGTTACTTTCTCCAACTTTTGCAGCCATTGGGGAGAGAGGAATGGAATAAAAAGAACGGAGCGGAGAACCTTCGGGATTAAGAATTTTCGGCTCTCCCTTCCCTTCACATCAAGTTAACAACGGGAGCAAGCGGAGGGATCACAGCCACATTCACCTTTCTTTTCCTTGAATTTTGATGTTGCTTGCAGAATGGATTGCGGGGATGAAGGAAAGGAAGCCTGCCACGAGGGCAATACAGAACGTACAACAATGGCAATGCTGCACTGCACCCCCTACATTCGTATGCACTCATCTGAATGTATCTTGCTTCATCAGTCTTACCCAGCTTGGATGAATCTTGACATTTGTGCCACTCAACCTTGTATCGTGGCAGAAACTGCATCATCCTGCATTCCACTGTGACTGTTTCAAAAACAGTCGCAATTGAAAGAAAACATAGCCAGGAATGATATGCCTACATAGATGAAAAAGCATATAGGCGAATCGAGATTTTCATAATCAAGATTATTAAGACACAGAAATGCAATCAAATTATTTGCGACAAATAAACACATATTTCAAACGATGAATCGTACTCATTAATATTTGTATGCATTACTAAATATTTTTTAAATTCATGTCGAAAGTGGTAATCAAGACACTATGAAATCATTCCAGGATAATTCCTTCGACTAGAATGACACGGGGCGTATTTTTTCCTGGACATAACTGGATGATGTAAAAATTATGGTGCATGCGTGGTCCAAATCTATGCTATCTGTATTCTCCAAGATTTTGTTTTAAAGTGCATGCCGGACCTTTAACTATTCATGATGCGAACTTGTCCTAAAATTTTCGAACCGAGCCACATACTTATAGCGACTTTATTTCTTGTCTCAACTCACACATATATATCTCTATTGGGCCATTTATATTTCAGAATAGATTTTTATTGGAACATTTCATCCATTTTTAAAAGCCTACCAATACTACTCCGCTAACCACATTCACTACTAGTTGGTAATAATCACCACACTTTGACCATTAGATTGAAACTCTACTTTTTATACGGATAAATCGACCGTGTATCAATTCAGAATGATGATCATGTGTGGATTTTAGATTCTATAGGAATTGCTTCAAAGTTCTCAGGATTTTTCTACAGCGATAAATCTAAACCGATAGGATATCGTCTAGTTGTATTTTGTCATTTTATTTTTTATGGCGGATCCACTTGAACTTAAGACATTCCAGAGTCCAGACCAAACCAATGATGAGAAACTTTGAACTATTTTGACAATTCACACACACATGACGATCGGCCAATTTATAAATATTTGAATGCATAAAGCAGACCGGATTTGTTTCTATTATTGAATAAGAAAAATAAACAGTGCAGCAAGTACGTCGTGTGTACAGATATGAGATACTTTGGTGGGGAGGCATGTATGGGATGATTCGTATTTATCGGAAAATTGTATGTGATGGATGGATTTTGCCCATTCTCATACAACTTTTCTGTGTGGTGAAATGCAGCGAAATCAACAATAAAGAATCGTCAGATGGAACATAAGGCAAGCTTCTTTCAGCAAATTGGTTGGTTTGTGAAGATTTATGAAGACTTGGACGTTGGATATTCTCATCCCTTTGGTTTGTTTGTTCGAATTCAGCTGAAATTCAGACTAGTGGACAGTATCTCTCCACTTGCTGGCAGTGTTTCATGCTTTCCTACGAATAATCTCCTTGCAGCGTCAGCTTTCCGCGTTTTTCGCCTCCATACAACTTGTTACCTAATGTCTTGGCTACTAATTCCATTTATTATGACTTACGTATGACAACTTTCTTTCTGTTTGTGCATATACGGCTTCTTATGGGCAAACATTACATCTGTGTGTGCTACATAAAGGGAAGTATCTATTGTAAATGAATGAATGACATTTGTTTTATTGAAGTTTTGCATCTTGGAGAATTTTGTGAAATTCAATATGAGCACTGGTAATATGCAGGAATTTTTTGAATGAATATATAACTTGATTGCGTAAGGTTGAGTCATTCTTCTATCAATAACTAAAAAATATGCTTTATTCCTTTTCTGTAATTTCAATATAAAGTTAATTTCATTGAATTCGTATGAGACGCATTTATTAAAATGCCAGTCCTGGGGGACCTTTCATATGTGTTATGAAGTTTATAACAAAATATATAATATCTGGAATTTTGTGCTAATGAAATCCCATTCAATCAAATCATAGTTCATGTTGTCGAGAAACTTTAATATAATTGCAAGAAGTTTATCGTAGGTGCTCGCGCATTGGAAATGTGCCAGCGGAAAGAATTCGAATTTGACTCTGAAGGGCTTTAATTCTGTATTCTTGCCATTCACTTGGGCTAACACAACAACATTTTTATACATTTGGTACGAACATTGGAAACCTTGTCGATATTTCTTCAAATTGGAAAAACATGGGAATCCCAACAAGAATTGTATGGTCAGCAGGTTGAGAATGCGCCAAGCCGTCAGTCACTGGCACAATCGAGAAGCAGCCCATTCTTTATTACATTTTATTGCTAAATTGTTTTCTAATCCTTCAAAGTTCTTGCTTTGATTGAAAAAAGTTTGTACCGAAAGTAACAACTCATTTTGATAAGACGAGATGCTGTGCTCTACTTAATTGTACATGAGCTGGATACGAAGAGGAATTTGTTTTCGGAGAACAAGATTTCATTTACTTTCTTCTCATTCTAGGAATTTCATAATGGAACTACGTAGAAATTTCATTATTATCAAATTGCCATTCGATGGTTCGGTATGGAATTTTATTCCCGCTATTTCAAAATAGTATCCTTTAGTTTATACTTCATAACTTGGCCCTGTACTTAAATACATATGAAAATACTGGTCAACATTGATCACTTGCAGAATATTACAGACGGGAGAAAGCTAGATAAACTTACAAATGAAGACGAACACACGAAAAGTGCACAGGGGGGAAAATAATGGGAAATTAATATTAAGTCCATGACATGCTTTCTGATCTGACCCAACATCTAATGATTAATCAAAGAAGAAATTGCTCGCTTTTCAGACAGTATTCCCCATTGTTCCATTGAATAATGGTGTAACATCTCATTTATCACTTGACAAATGTATTATATCTTTCATGACACAATACAAATTAAATGGAGAAACTATTTAAGTATTTAGAAGTTACATACGTATTAACGTAGCATGTCCTTAAATCGTGTATGTCTGATTTAAAATGACCATGTGCATACATACATATACAATTTTAAGTAATGGTTTTTATTTGAGTCAAAAATTGAATTTTGTTCTAGGTGTCTATGCCCTTTGGATTTGCTATATGCTGAATCCTGAAGAAAATTATGGCTCGTACACTTGCGTGACAATTTCTAATAATTTTCTTTATAAGCTCCCATCATTTTCACTCTGATCTGGACAGCAAATAAATGAGCTGGGAGTGGATTGTGACCAACGGCTGACTGAGCCTGCTTCTTGTACATATGTGAGCAGAGATAGGATATATTTCCCATGGGAGGATGCGACAATGGGCAAGAATGGGTAGAATATAGCTCATATTTGGTAACTACATGATATATTTCCGTGTGACTATTGTGCAGATATGCATGAGGAGAGTTTGCTAATTTAAAGAAAATACTATTCAGTGCCTTAATATTGTCTGTTGTGGATATTCTTGAACCTCCGTCTGCACAGCCATGCTGGTATATGTACGGAAGCAATTTGGGCAATCCTAATCCTAAGAAATGTAACGAAATTTGGTAATTTAGTAAACAATGTTTTTTAAATTTTCACAAGTTCATATCGTTAACTACATATATGTCGAATGAGTAATTTACCAACGGCAAGCCCGATAAATGCGACGTATTATGTACATATGTATGCCGATTGCCGATACGCGCATTTATTCAGGGCAGATTCTTCGCAACCCTTTTGTTGAACTTACCGAGAGGAAAAGTGCAGTATTATAAGCATGCATTATGAAGAGGGAGTTTGGACGAGTTGGCTGGTTGCAAAAAGCCGCCGGTAGTTTGAGGAAAGATAAGAGCATGAGGACTGACAGCTTGATTTAGTCCTGTTTGGTTTTTGGGACTTGGTGAAGCGGAATCGGGAAGTCCGATATGATGAAGGATGGATGCCTCCGTGGGTAATCAATCTTCCTCCTCCCTCCCTAAATATACATTGCATTAAATACTTCTCGTCTCCCATGCACTTGCTCTCTCATCCTTTATTCAGGGACTAGATCCAAGTACCCTCATAAGCGCATATGTACATAGTTGTATACATCTTCATTTCCTGGAATATGTACCACACCAAAAGTAAACATCGTTACTCGTTTGAAATCAATTAATAAATCCTGCTTCGCCAATGAAATCATCAGCCAAGGTTCTAATATTAGTATGCGCACAGGCATAAGAAAGTGAACCCCTTTATTTAATACCGAATCATGATTTGTAAATCTTCCTACCTTACCAACAACTTTACTTGATTGCAACGAAATTAAGGCATCAGCATCGGAAAAATCAAAATTGAAGAACACTCCTCTAATAAGTTGTCTCACTTGGTCGGGCTGAAAAATAACTTTTCTTGCGGATATTATTTTGTCTCATGTGACCACAACATAAATCATGGAGATCCGTATAATCGAGAAAACAAAGTTGTTTCATATTTACTTTACATGTGGAGGAATCCAAGAAAAAGTTTAGGCCAGTTTGTCATCTATGTAGGTGCATGACTTTTAGGTCCAATAAATTTGGAATGCAATCCGGCCTCAGTGGAGCTCAGCCCGGCCAGTATCGTCGTTAGCATGGAAAGAAAGTGGATCAAGAGACAGAGGCTACAAACTTTTTACATTAGTTATCCGCACTTGTCCCTCATCTGTATAAATTAACTATCGACTATTACGTCATAAATGCCAGGAAGGGAACTGCTGATTATGCATTACTCCTGAAAAATGTATTCACCTTAAGACCCTGACTATATTTTTTTCCGTTGATAAACCATATACTGTTTTAGCTAATGGATATGGTTTAATGGTTTACGCTATAAATGTGGCAAAAGGGACTCAATTTTTGTAAATATCAATATTTAAATTCAATAATTATCATAAGCCGTAACTGCAGTGTGTGTAACGCTAATTATAAAAAATTCCGAAGCGTGCAACTGCCTCGAATGTATGTTTTTCTCCAAATCATCATTCTATCTTGCAGGGAGGAAGATTTGCGCTGGGCAGTCCAGAAAATGGAACTCATCCATCTTCTCCTCGAGCTACTTAGGAAGAGCAGACTCCTGACTTTTCTTCGTTTTTTTTTGTCTCCGGCCCCTGTCCATCAGTTCAGGTTCAGCAGTCCACCGTCGTAAGAAGAAGAAGAAGAGAGCAGTGAATTGAGATTCATTCCGAATGTTGGTAATGTTCTTCTTCTCTGGAGCAGGCTTTCATTCAAATGGACCTTCTTTCTTTCTCTTTCTGCAGAGTTATTGATAGTCAGATATATAATGATGCTGCATTTACGTATAAAAGATAGGTCACTTTCTCGACTCTTACTTACATTAATATCAACGAAGC